GCGAGTTTGGAGCCTCTCCCTCAAACCCCCTCCCCTCCGGCCCCCAGAATATAACCTATGTGCCAAACAGCCCATAGGATATAATGGGGCCGAATTGCCGCCGAATTTCAGCAGCAAACCAGCAATAGGCAGCAAGCTGATCTGGGGGCACCCTCTTTGGATGCCCCTGGAATTGACCCCCTGGACCAATCTTCTTAAAACTTTGGGGGTCTTTTGGGGAGAGGCTGGAGCAGCCACGGTCCAAATTTGGAGCCCCTACCTCAAACCCCCCCCCCCAGCCCCCTGCAAACTTTCCAGAGGATTTTTGCATTGACTTCAATGGCCCCATTGAATATAATAGACCCGATTTTTTTGGGAATCCCGAAAATTTTCAGATATCTATGCTTTGCCGGTATAGATATTTGGGGTTTTTCGGGAATCCCGAAAAAAATCGGGTCCAATAAATCCAAATTTTACCAAATTATTTTTTTTGCACACCCCTAGTACTAGGCAGAGCCTGTAAACTGCAATACAGACAGAGTGCTAGCCCTTTTAGCAGGTAATACTCTAAGTGACCAGAGAAGTGAGGAACCCCTCCAGGAGACGGATAGGCTTGAGAAAATGATGCCACCAGGCATAGGCTTGGGAGAGCTGCTTTGTGACATGCAGTTACTGAATTTATAAATACCTGCAAAACTATATGAAGGGGTAATCGTTATTAAGATGTATATCATACTCTAGTCAGCAGCAAACAAAATAATATACACAAAATTCTACCTTATCTCTTTTTAAGCATATATCACTTGAATTGCTCAGCACACAACTGAGTATCCACATCAAAGCCCATAAATGGAAAATTCCCGGAATGAGGGTCCAAAGATGTTTACAACATTCTCGTCTCCTCTTCAACTTTGCTATATGAAGCTGTTATTAACCAGTCAGGAAAATCTAACTTGCATGGATACAGGAAAAAAACTTGCGCAGCACAAATTTATATGGAGTAGATTACTGCTAAATCCGGACTTCAAGCTTCACACTTACTGTAGGGGGTCCCACAGCAGGTGTAGTCGTCTCCTGGCCACGGGCTCTTCCCCTTGCTCTGGCTCTTGCTCTGCCTGACATGGTGCCTCAGAAATTGCTGCTATGAGACAAAATGTGCAAGTATTTTTACTCCATCACATTCCGACAGATAAAAGAATTCATTCTCAAACAGCAAAGTGGGGTTTCAGGGAAATTTTGAACTGAAGTTTTTTCAATGCTCTTAATAGAACATGAACAACTTTAATGTGTTTGTTTTAACTTATGTTTATTAAGTAAAATTTAAAGACTACCCACATATCCATTTTATGTCCCAATAACACCAATGGCAGGAACAGAAAAATCTAACTAGGGAACAAATGTTATCAAGTATGATTTACATGTTATAGTCAAGCAAATTCAAAGTTTTATGCTGAAGTTATTTGGGGGGGGAACACAATACTGGTAAAAATTAAAAGGTAATATACCATGTATATATAGTTTAAGCTTTAAAAACCCACAGCGTTACTATCAACCGAACAATCTTAGTGGACACAAAGAGATAGCATGATATGCCTTGGAGAGGTGTATCCAACTCATCTATTTCAATAAAACTTAACTCTTAAACATAAAGGTCACCAGGGCATATCAATTTCACTATCACTGTCTGGTACAGGGGTCCCCAACATGGTGCCTGTGTGTGCCATGACTCCCGCTATTCACTTTTCTTGGCACCCACCAAGTGCTTTTAGAAAGTTACTAGGCCAGGTGGGGCTTCTGCCCAGCAAGGCTTCTGACTGCCTGTGCAGATTTTTTAAAAGTTACTTTGGCAGCAGCTGCCATTACAACACAGGGATCTTCATACAGGACTAATGGTAAGATATTCGTATGCAATAAAATATTTTAAAACAACATTTTCACTTTAAAAGGAATCCTGTCAGCATAGCCTAAAATGCTGAAGAGTTACTATTAGCGGTGTGCAAAAAATAAAATAAAAAAATTCCGCCCGATTCGGATTCAGCCAAATTGGGCAGAATCAATTTCAGCCAGCATAAAGACTCCTGCATGTCAATTTTGGCAGTAGGAGCAATTCAGGAGTCTTTCAGCCCCATTATATTCTGTGGGTCACTGAAGTCAATGGTGAAAATATAGGGTGTATTCTGGGGGGGGGTGAAGGGGAGGGGGTTTGAGGAAGAGGCTCCAAACTCGCAGGGTAGCTGCTGGAGCCTCTCCCCAAGATCCCAACCAAGTTTCAAGAACATTGGACCAGGGGGTCCAATTCTACGGGCCCTCAAACAGGTTGTCCCCTCCCCTCCATTGTTCTCTATGGTGGCGGCAAATCTGAATCAGCCTGCAGCAGCCCGAATGGGGTCCGAATGGGCCATTTTCAGGGGTGCATTCGGTTCGGATGAACCGAATGCACATCCCTAGTTACTATTGGAGTTACAGCATAACCCCACTCCCTGACATTTTGTGGTTGGCTGAACTTCCTATGGCAGCCATTTTGCCATTGACTCTACTACCCCTGTGCCACAGTTCCAAAGGAGCCTGCAGGCTCAAAAATTCTGCAAACTGAATGCCTTTAGCCTTTACTTTGAATTATTTTTATTTATTGTTTATAAACTGAGATCCCAACAAGGAACTTCAGGGGAGAGAAGCGATTAGGAAGGTCAGTGCCCCCCACAGAAGCTGAAAATCTTAAGTACCTTCTGCAGGTAAGTTTTCCCCTCTCCTTTTTTTCCTGTCTCTAAAGTGTTCTCTTCACTCAAACTGCAACAAGTATGCTCAGTCACCAAACTGGGTGGGTGGGTTTAAGCTATAAACTAGTATTTTTCTGCATAAAGCAACACCACTGATGAACAAACCATGATACTATCTGTTGGCTACTGATTTTTGCAGGCATTCAACCATGGCTTGCTATCTGCAAGCTTTGTTTATATACACATCCAGTGAGTTAAGTTCTGGTGAAAGTTGGCCCAATACCTAACTTTCACCTTTCAGCTGTTACAGTGCCTGTTTTATGAGTACTTAGTTGCTTACTGTAAGATAAGGCACAATTATTCCTAATTAAGAGCAACACTTCTCCCAATTATTTCCCAGACAAAAAAGAAAAGTTCTTTGCAAGAGGCACAGACTAACAGATGAGAGTGGGGCAAAACCCAGTGACACTTTTTTCGTAACAGCCACCTAATCAAGGCTGCACTTATTTACAAATAAGCCCTCAATGGCAGCTGAACCAAGAGACAAAGCATTGGGCTGGGCTTAGATCTGGATAAGGTCTGGACATGAACATGAGATACCAAGTCATAGGATTGCAGCCTTAAAATAAGAGTACAAGGTCTCAGGCAAACGCCCTTTCCAACTCTGACTGCCTCAGATGCGCAACTCCAGGTCTTGGACCTGGGCTCACACATACATAAATATGCTGCAAAACTAAGCTGTAACAGCCAGTTATTTCAAACACATGGACCTTGCTGCAGTGACCCCTTCCAACACAACCCATTTTCCCCAAACATATATTTGTAACCCAATAAAACCATAAAGGTTTAGGGTTTTGGTCTAGAACAAAGGGAGACCAGGATCAAACCTCACACGGCCCTAAAGCGTCTCTCAGCATAGTTTACCTTGCTGTGAGGATAAAGGGGGGGGGGGAGTCAAGAAAAAGAGAATAATGCATGCTGCCCAGAGCTTCTCAGAGGAAGGAAGGGGGGGGGGGGAGAGAATAAAAGATAAGACAGAAAACCCAAACTATTGTCTTCCAGCTCCAGAGTACTGTTTCCAGTGAAGGAAAACCCAACCCCATTTCTATGTATGTACCCCCAGTACCTTGAAGGAAGAAATGTATATTTTTATGCTGTAGTACAAGACTTTTATTTATGTATTTCATTTATACCCCCATCTTTCTTCCCACTGGAGACCCAAAGCAGCTTCTGCCATCTCTTCTCCCCCATTTTGTCCCCAGAACAACCCTGTGAAGTAGGTTAGCCTCAGAGTGTGAGACTGGCCCAAAGTCACCCAGTACACTTTCATGGCAGAGTGGGGATCCTACCCAGATCCTACCACACTGTCCGGTTATGAACTCTGGCACACTTCTAATATCGTTTTAACATAAAACACAAAACCAAGTCCCAGGGAATACAGTATAACAAGCCAATCTGAACAACTGTGGACTCATTCACCACTAACAGAACTGAATTAAATATGGGCATAAGCAAGCTAAAGTACATATTTACATCTCTTCTAACCCACCTTTTTCCTTACAAACTACCACCAAAAATAAAAGCTGCCAGCAAAACCAAACAAAAACTACAACAGTGCCATTAGTCCACTTCCACATGGTAAGGGTGGGAGAACATTCCTCACAATACAAGAAAGCCACTTCCACCATACATAATGAAAGCCCCAGAACAAGCAGGGTATTCTTACCCTGCCTTCTCCAGCATGGAACTTCTTCATGAATTCCTAGATGGAACAATTCAGTCCCCACTCATTTATCTATTACTTTTGCATTTTCTTTATAACCTCAACCTGCCACTTTGGGGGTGGGGTGGGGGAGTTAAGTAAACAATTTGTAGGGGTGGTTGCAATCATGTGGGAAGGAAAACTGGTTTTTAACAGTAGAAAAGAGCAAGAGTCCACGTGCACCTTAAAGACTAACAAAGTGGCACTATGAGCATTCATGAGTCACTGCTCACTTCTTCAGATACCAGTGACTCAGCAACAACTCACAAAACCCCTACCACATATTTTGTAAGTCTTTAAGGTGCTACCAAACTCTTGCTCTTTTCTACTGCTACAGACAGACTATCATGGCTACCGATCATGGCTTTTAACAGTAAGCAAAGAGAAAAGAAGCCACAAACACTGTGCATGTATAAAATATGATTTTTCTATCATAGAGTGCAAATAGATGTTTTTGCAATTAAGAGCATGCATGGAGGAAGGAATAAGGCAAGGGTGCCCAACCTTTTTGAGCCTGTGGGCACCACTGGAACTCTGACAGAACAGAGTGTGTGCAGCTGAAAAATGGCTGCCACAGGTGGCAGAGACAGTCACAAAAAGGCTTCCAGAACTTACCTCCAGTCACACAATGAAGAGCCTTATGCAGCTGCTGCCAAAGCAACATTTTTAAAGCATATGCAAAACTAACCAAATCTCCAGTGATCAATTAGAAGAAGCTTTGCTGGGGAAAAAAACAACACCCATCTGGCCCTGCCCACTTTCTGAAAGCACTATGTGGGCGCCATTAAAAGCGCTGGCAGAGGGTGTGTGGATGAAACAGAAAGGGGGGGTTACAACGAGTGAACATTTGGACAACCCTCTTTTGGAACAAAAAAATGCGGCGGGGTGGGGGAAGGGTCAAATGCACGAAAGCAGTGGGGAGTGCCACCCCCCTCCCAATAAACAGGGCTTGTGGATAACAGAAGAGATTGAATTTATACCCCGCCCTTCCCTACCCAAAGGAGTCTCAGAGCATCTTACAAACTCCTTTCCCTCCCCCTCCCCACAACAGACACCCTGTGTGGTAGGTGGGGCTGAGAGAGGTCTGACAGAAACTGCTCTTTTTCAAGAACAGCTCTTATCAGAGCTACGGCTTGCCCAAGGTCATCCAGCCAGGTGCAAGTGGAGGAGTGGGGCATCAAACCCGGTTCTCCCAGATTAGAGTCCGCGCACTTCACCACGACACCAAACTGGCTCTCTTAAAGAATAAGGCTCGAGCTCAGTGGCGCCTTTTAAGACCAAGTAAGTTTTAGTCAAGGTATGAGGTTTCGTGGGGATCCCACTTCCTCGGGCACAGAAGCCTGCATGCATGCGAAGGGTCATATACCCTCAATAAAACTTGGCTGGCCTTAAGGTGACTCAAAAACACGGCTACCCACCTAGGCCTTTTAAGACCAAGTAAGTCTTATTCAAGGTATGAGGTTTCGTGGGCATCCACGCTTCCGCGGGCACAGAAGCCTCCATGCATACGAAGGGTCATATACACTCAATAAAACTTGGCTGGCCTTAAAGTGACTCAAAAACACGGCTACCCACCTAGAATAAGGCTTGTTCACTAAAAACACACATCAATGTTGCCTTCCCACGAACCGAAACTACTCTCT